TCCTTCCCCTCCCCCCTCCCCCCTCTCCAGACCACTTTCGTTATCCCTCTCAAGAAGAATTATGTACGGCTTGGTGGCTTGGGCAGAGGAAGAGTCTCGTTTAGTCAGTCGCTGGCACTTATCGCGTCTTCGCACGAAAGCAGGAAGATGCACGACCCGCACGCGTGCCCAAAGTAAAATGACGCGGGAAGTAAAGTACGCACGAGCTTTTTTTACCGCCTCTTTCTCTCACTTTCTTTGCGAGCGTCGAAACCGAGTCGGGAAATTCAAGTTCGAGTAAAAGCGCGAGTTCCAGGATTCTGGATCTACAGTTTCGTTGAGAGGGGCAAGGCTTGTGGGTATCCAATGTAACGGATGTGCAGTGAAAGATGAACTGTCTTCCGAGAGCCCAGTCATGTAATAAGATATGGATCATTGAGTCTCAAATATTAGAGAAATATTTACGACAAAAAGAACGGAAGACAAAATATGTAGGTTACATTTTTTATTTTTAACTTAAGTACGTTAATGTCCTATGCATTGCACGAAAAATTCCATTTTCTTGCATATGAGTGACGGTTATATATTATATTGGCAACAGTTGTATTATCCGAATTCGAAGAAGTATTTTATTAATAGTATTTTATATATAATAGAATTGATTTATAATTGAAATTCCTTTAACGACACTATTCTATATAGATTTTGTTTTTCTATTTTATTGTATTACTATGTTAAAGCAGATCTATATACATGGATAAGATTTTCAAACTACGAGCAAAATTATTGAAATTGATCGGCAATATTATTACATTGGCGCGTGAATTACATGTCACACTATACATCAAATATACACTGATATTCAATTTACAAAATTATTTGAATAAATTATTAAGATTCGTTTTACAAGGATACTGAATTAACATCAGAACCATACGATTATTAAAAGACTTTTGATAATAAATCAATGCATGTTCAATTGAAAAGGATTAGATTGTGTTGTACAGTTTATTATCAGTTGCTCATTGTTTTGACATTAAATCTAGCGAAGGAGGAATGCACGTTTAATAGTGCAAAGTGAATGTGGAAAAAGTTCCATAAATTAAGCGCACATGAGACATAATATTAATAGTATAAGTTTTTTTATGCTAACACACTCAATTTACAGTTTGTGAGCAAGAAAAGTTTAACTTGTTAAATAATTTACAAATGATTATGCTTTTGTTCGGGGTTAGCCAGTGTTGTCACTGTAATTAGGTAATTAAGCCTAATTGTCTTCTCTTTACTTGAAAGAAGATTTACGACTCATCTGGTTCCTTTCGCTTTCTCTTTCACTCTTTACATTACAGTCATTCTCTGCCCATCTCACGAAATGTCTACTATAGCACCAGAAAACAATATTTTGATGATGTAATGAGGTTTTAATTTTAAAATAATGCCGTTTAAAATAATGAGGTTTTAATTTATAAAATAATGCATATTATAAATACTTCTGAATTAAATGAATTTATTAATTTATTAATATATGGTTGCATTAGAAAACTGAAGCTTTACGCATTAAAATCAAATTAGAGCATAAAAGTGGACATCAAATTTTAATTTGCTTACATCTACAACTTTTACTCTTTTAGTTGTAAAAATCTTGACGACTTTTGCTTCCAACTTACTTTTTCAGACAAATTGTAAAACTTGAGAAAGAACACTATTCGAATAATCTTACACATTAAGAAATAGTGTTTATTTGCATTTCATTTATATTGACAATTTATTTAAATGATTATTGAAATGAAGATTATTTTAATATAACTATTTTATTACCCTCTTAAGATTTTTAAAAACTACATGTAGCCGTATTTTATCAAATTTATCAAGACATCCTTCATTGTTGTAAAACTTCTTTGACTATTTAAACAAAAATCTATTATTATAAATATCTAATTATTGTTTAAAATATTTTTACAGTAAAATACTTTTTCTATTTTGTTCGACGCTTAACATTAATCCATCTTTCAAAGTGTCCCATATAATTATTTTATTAATTACATTAAATTATTAAAAGTGCCGGAAATAAAACTTTTGGTACTAATTCTTTATCATTATGATTTATGTTTATTTATTTGTACTCAAAACCTATTGTATTATTCATTATGAAAAATTAATTTTTGGTAAATAAAAAATAAGCTTATTAAAATATTTCCATTAACAATCGTCATGCATATTAATATCAAATATATTGAGAATAATCGCTATTTCCATAGATTTTAAAATTAGAAACGACCTACAGTTTTGACAAAAATTATGAAATTTAGTATACGATAAATGTTTTATCTTTATAACTTTTTATCAAAGTTTTCTGAGGGCTTTATTTAATTCCAAATCAAATTTTTTTAATTTTACGCATATTTTCTCGTTAGCAAGTATTAAATAGCTATTGTACGAAAATCTCTCATTTTATTAATAATAATTATAATCTTAGAGTCATAGAAATTATTGCTATAGTAAATATATTTTATTGATGGAGGCATACTTATGTTAAATTTTATTTATTTATATTTATTATTTCAAGTAAATTAATCTCTCATATATGATTAGAAACTCATAAAAACAGGGCTCGTTTCCTTTAATGATTGTTTATTGTCTTAGAAATCAAAATATATGAAACATTTGTATTTTATAATAATAAACTTATATTAAAACAAAACTTACATCGTACAAAATATTTTTAGCTAGTGATTTATTGAAAAGGCAATTGATAACTAATTTCTTTAAAAATTAGTAAAGCAGCATATTTAATAAGCGTCTATTTTGAGAAATATTTTTCTCTCACAATAAATTATTTATTTTCGTAAAATTATGTTTATGTACTACATATCTATTTAAAAATAGGGAATATTTTTATTCTTTTAAATTTACATCCATTCGATCTAACATTTAATATATCGAAAAATAAAAACATTTATTGCATGTATTAGATGTTATGAAGATTGATTAATTAAATAAGGTAATAAGGTAATGTAAATGCCATTGGCTGTAACACATTTCATTAGTTCAAATGAATATTTATTATTATTTATCATCGTGTATACTTTAATAAGTATTGTAAATTTTAATTTTAATTTATAGTAAGTAGCTTGATAAGTTTTTATAAATATACCTTTGTTATTATTGTTAACTAGACATTTGCGTCAAAATATTCATAAATACGTGTGCGCGCGTGTTTGTAATTAAAATTAAATTTTACGTAAATTTTACTATCATATTTTACTACCTTAAGGGAGAAAATTCTTATACAATAAATTTGAAATACTGAAAATTTTTTAAATATTCATTTGATAATTATATAATTAATTAAAAAGCACTATAATAAATTAATGCAAACCGTAAATAAAACGATAAATAAATGTAATTTAATTGTAATTAATATGCAGGCAATTTTGTAGTTTTAATTATGTAATACGTTGTATTGAATTACTATTTTATTAAGGAATTTTTTATTCGAATTATATGTAGACTAGATATTGTCAGTTTTGTCTAAAAATTCATCATTCTTTTTTTGAATAGTAGTTACGATAGAATATATACAAGACCGAATAACTGAAAATTTGTTAATGTAACTTTCATGTAAATAATCTTTGAAAAAATTTAAAATCTTTATTTGAAAAATAACCACTTATTTTAAATTCATATCCAAGATTTTGTTATTTCAAAGATAAAAAATATAAAATCTGTAATAAATACAGTTTTAACGAGTAGATAAATATGTTTGAAACAGTTTTTGTTTTTGTTTTTTTTTTTTCAAAAGAAATAAGAATCTTGGTGATTAATCTTGTAAATCGCTTGAAATTGAATATCGCGAGCATCGAAATGTCCATATGTGTTAGCTTCTATGGAGAATATTGTTGAACAACATATCCGTGGAAAAAATTATCTGTTCAATCCATATCAGCTGCTTTGACTTTAGGATAATAAAAGTCGTGGGAACAATGTTTGCGAGATTAGGAGCACGAGATTAGGAAGATAAGAAGCTATCGGCAATGA